TAAAGAAAGTCATTAATGCAAAATGGGCATATATCTTCAATGATGTTTGTATTAAAGAAAACCTCGTTCCGAAATATATATATATATATATATAAGGGTGTCCCAAAAATATGAAGTTTTAAAATATTGATGTCTCACTCCATTAAATATGTCTGTATGGTAACAGTAATTTACTTGCCAAATTTTAACCCATTTGGACAATGTTTAGAGGTCCCCCAAGGGGTCGAAAGTTTCCGATTTTGGTGTTTGATCGTTTGCTACCAACTTTTGATACAGTGTTATATGATATGATTATAAATGCTTTATGATTTGTTTATACAAAAGAAACAAAATATATAATTGTGAAAAAATATATAAATCTGCAATGCCTTTTATTTTTTAATTTCAAAAATTAGGTCAAAAATGATTGAAAAACAAGATTTTATTGAATTTCAGTTCGCTTGAATATTAATTAATGCAAATAATTCAAATTTTGGCTAGCAGTTCACGATTATATTCTGCAAAGTTTTTCCTATGCTGCTCAACTACTTAAAGCAAAAATTGTTTCTGCTCTGAGTCTTTGGTGATTGTTTCATTGAAATGTTGTACCAACGCTACTCCCCTTTCTGCAGAGTCATTGATGCAAACCAGATTCCTTACAAACACTGCTGCAACTTGGAAAGAAGGAGTATCTGACCAGTTTTCAACAGGTACATCAAAAAAACTGGCATCAAGATTGGATGTTTCAAAAAATGTTTTAGACGCACGCAAATTGTCAAAACTTTGTGATAGCGTTTTCATCAGATGTGGGCCTCGATCTGCTTGTATTGTGCGGACAAGATCAGTCTTTTCTTTGTCAGACAGGAGAGATGAAAAAAGAGCAAGAGTTGCCAATCCTGGACTCATGTACCAAGAATGACGCAGCATCATTTTTAATTCAGTCGAACCAAGAACTGCATCGTCGTAGTTATGCAAACGCTGTATCAACAAAATATCATTCACAGGTGCATCAGCAGTGAGCCTGCATGAAAACCATGACTGAAGATAAACACAAATGATAAACCGATTCAAACGTTGAATACCTTGTAATTCTCGAGCTGTTAAGTTAAAAATGGTCTTATTTACAGTGAATAATAGTTCAATTTTTAATGCGTAGATGGCTTTTGCCATCCATCGTGCCCTGTGCAGTGCACCAGGTTTGCGAATGGCTACATCAATCTGCAGTCCAACTATTTGTGCAGCAAGAAGTAGAAACTCTAAATAGTCATCTCGTGAATGTCTGACCTCAAGTTGACATTTGATGAATGCTTTAATTGCATCTGGAACAATTATCAAAGGGGTTGATCTGGCTTCTGGTGTGTAATTCATTTCTGTCCATTTTTCACGAAACCTTTTGAAGAATATAATTTCTGGTCCGGTGGATGGTCCAAGACAAACATTATATACATCGGCAAGCAACACTTCAAACTTAAGATGACGGCAAGCCATCCATAATAAATTATGTCCCATGGCTTTTTCTAGAAGAGTGCAAGCTCCATTGAGTTTTCCAGTATTGAAAGCTGTCGTGTCAAAGCACATGCCAATAACCATTGATTCACACTTTCAGGATTTTATATGTTCATGAACTGCATCAGCAGCTGCTCGTTTTTATCCAGATGCTAACTTTGGAACTCCAAGAAGTTTTGTAGTGTCATCAACAAGTGATGAGAGCAGGACAGGTAACCGATCTACGTTGACCACACCAGTAACATAGCGAGTTGATTGGTTTAAAATATACATTTTTTGCATTCTCTAATAAAGATTATCATTCTACAGGTAATTGTTAATAATATTTTAAACTCTAATTAATGTCAACAGTGAGATAATTAAACTAGTTTGCATTTCTAGCTTTATTTCACTCATTTTGTGCATATTGTTTAAGATTATTGATATGGATTTTGAATTAACTCGATAGTAAAATTTTAAAAGCCCTTGGGGGACCTCTCAAACTTGTTCAAATGAGCTGTAACTTTACCAATTTAATTATTGTACCCAAGAGACACTTTTAAAAAAAATTTCCGTGCATTTCTGGGACACCTTATTTATATATATATATATATATATATATATATATATATCAAATCAAATATTGTATTTATATAGCGCCAATTATAATTGCTTCTCATCAGCGCTCTCCTCGTATGAAGCATGTTGAAAGCGAAGCCACCATCGGTGGAGATCACTAGGTGTTACCAAATGATTCTTTGTTTAACACGCAGCCAATGAAACTCCTTTAGAATTGGTGATGCATGATCAAATTTTAATTTGCGGTATTATCAGCAGCCTGATTCTGAACCATCTGAAGTTTAGACAACAGTTTATCAGCTATACCATATAGAAGACTGTTACAATAATCCAATCTAGAGTTGACGAACTACTCTCAAACCAACCTCCCAGCTATGGTAGTCCTACAGATTTTATGAGCCCATCCACACTCCATTCCATTAGCCTATATCCTGTTACTGAACAAGAAATATTAGCTACTGTTAATATCTTGAAAAACAAAAAGAGCTATGCAGACGATGGACTCAACATGTTCCTCATCAAAAACATAATTTTCCCTATCATATCACCCCTTAATCATATCTTAAACTTATGACTAAGCACTGGAATCTTTCCTGACTCATTTAAAATATCCAAAATCATACCAGTATTCAAGAAAGGAAACAAAGATGACATTAACAACTACAGACCCATCTCCATTCTTTCCCCGCTGTCAAAAATTCTTGAAAAACTTTTCTTTAAAAGACTCTCCAATTTCTTCTGCTCCAACAATACTATCTGCAACAACCAATACGGATTCAGACCCAACCACTCAACTGAGCTTGCTATTCTTGACTTCACTCAGCATATACTAAATGAAATGAACAACAAAAATCTTTCTATTGGCATTTTCCTGGACTTATCCAAAGCCTTCGATGTCATCGATCACAAAATACTCCTATCCAAACTACATCATTACGGAGTAAGAGGCACAGCTCACAACTGGATGAGACGCTATCTTTCATCACGGACACAATATGTTTCCATGGACAACATCAATTCAAAGCACGCTCCTATTCATCACGGCGTACCACAAGGATCCATACTAGGACCCCTTCTATTTTCTATCTACATAAATGACCTCTGCAACGTTTCGCCCTCAACCAAATGCGTACTGTTCGCAGACGACACCAACCTTCTTTTCACTTCCAACAACCTACCAGATTGCTCTGAACTTATCAATCTTGAACTCCAAAAGTACTCTAACTGGGTATCCAATAACAAACTAATCATAAATTATTCGAAATGTGCATACATTATTTTTGGCCCAAAAACACTCACCAACCAAGCTCCTAACCTAAACCTATTAATTAATGGCGTTCCTATAAACCGCACCCTATTAACCAAATTTCTTGGAATCACCATCACAGAAAATCTTTCATGGAATTCTTACCTACAAACTACCTCAGACAAAATCAACAAACTCATAGGCATCTTCTACAAAATCAAATATAAACTCTCTTTCTGCTCTACACACGCTTTATTATACATTCATCTACCCTTATCTAACCTACTGCATCACACTATGGGGAAATAGTCCAAAAAGCCACCTGAATAACTTAATACTCTCTCAAAAAAGATCAATACGTTTAATTTTTAACCTCAAACCCGATTCTCATACTAAACCCTTCTTCCTAGCAAAAAAAATTTTACCACTTAACTACATCTGTCTTTACTACTCTGCTTTATTCGTTTTTAAATTTATCAACAATCTTCTCCCACCTCACTTTATCAACTTCTACACATTAAGTAACTCCGTCCAATCTACAACCACTAGACACACCCCTCTCTTCTATATCTACAAAACTCGCCTCAAATTAATCCAGACAAGCATAAAAATAATAGGTCCTAAAATTTGGACAGAACTTGTACCTCCTCATCTAAGAGCCATCATAAACCTACAACATTTCAAGTCAAAATTCCGTGCTTTTTAACTGACACTTGATCTCGACTCCACCACCTAATACTATATTAAGAATACGTTAGAACAAATGATGCAGATGAATGGTCTTTATGAATAGTTAAACATTTATGTGTTTATATATGTACTGAGCGAACATTTACATAGTTATATGTCTATATATGTATGACACGAACATTTACTTATTTATCTTCAATTATCTTTTTGCTTCAGTTATTTTCCTTATTTTATTTCATTGACTATTCATATATCTACCTGCGATGGCCACCACAAGACATACAGTCTTATTCAGTCTCCGCATATTCAACTTCATAACTTTTATTCACTTATTTGATATGTTGTTGATTATGAATAAAACTTTGAAAATGAAAAATGAAATATATATATATATATATATATATATATATATATAGGATTAAATCTGTCAGAAATGCAATTAATGATAAAAATCACAGCATGTTCGGCGTTAGTTAACTACGTTTTTAATTTTTTCGATTTTTCTAACGATCGAAAATTAATGTCAAAACCAAAACTTTTATTTATTTTATGCCTAATTGAACAATGAAGCATTTTTCGGTATTCCTAAACCGTCGTCGGTGTTCGATTTGATACGTTGTGTGTGTGGCCAAATGCTCAGGTATAGTGGCCCGTCAAAATAGCGTATAACAAAATGGCGTATAAGAGCGCAAAAATTTCACGACAAAATGGCGCACGATAAAATAGCAAACGACAAAATTTCACAAAATCACCACTAATTCAATGTCATTTTTATAATTGAAATTGTAAAATTTAAATGCGCTGACACGAAATCATTGGAATAATTGTTGTAAAAAAAGAAGTTTAATAATAATAATAATAACAATAATAATAATATTCTAATCACATTTAATAAAATTTATATTAATGAAAATTTGTTGTCTTATTTTATTAATAAATTATACAAATATATACCTTAATAGTTTTAATTAATCAATTAATTTGTTTAAGAATAGGCTCTGAAGATCTAAAAATGGCGCTTAATCGCCATTAACCAAGTGCTTAATTTTTTTTCTTAAGAATTTTCACAAAATAATTTAAAATACTTAGAGAGCTATTCCAATTACATATATATACATATAATTATATAATTATCGTAATATAATTATATATATATATATATATATATATATATATAATAAATATGCTGGTAAAAGACCAAATTCTTGACAGTATGTAATAAATTCCACCGATTTATTAGCGTTTATCAACTTATATTCAAATTTATATAAAAATTTGAATTATAAGTTGATAAACACTAATAAATCGGTGAAATGTATTGCATAATAATATATATATTTTAGTTAAACATGCTTGGTATATAATTAAAAATTCTGAAAAGCTCCAACCTCGCCTCCAGTGAACGAACATTTCGCAAAAGACAGCCCCTCATCATGAGAAGGGCTGAGTTTTCCGAAGTACTTATCAGCCAATGAGACCAAGTGCTCGTGCTCAACACCTGCAATCAATTGAAAGATGTTACTAATTCATCCAATCACATAAAGTAAATTGAAATTTCGTTAGAATATTCAATGAATGAACGGAAAATTATTGAAAAAAAAGAATTTAAATTAATTTGTAAATAGATACACTTTCACAAATATTTTCATCATTCTGCAGCAAAATCAGGTTGATCATTTAATCAACCATCACAGCTAAGCCAATCAGCAACTCATCCTTTCACCCTGCCAGGCATCCTTCCACTCATCCAAGCATCAAATCATCATTTCATTTACCCATTTATCCATCTACCACCACACATCTATTCATCCTGCCAACCATCAATTCACTCGTTCATCCATCTAACAATCCATCCATTTAGCCATCCTTCCGTCAAACCATCCCCTCTTCATTCATCTAACCATCCACCCATCCATCTAACCCTCCATCCATCCATCCATCCATTGAAGCAGCCAACCAACCTCCGGCGGCAGCTAGCACCATCCTTGAACCTTTGTAGTGCGTCGATATGTAGTTCAATAGATCTTCTCGGTTTATGGTCCTGTTTAAAATAAACAGCATATTCAGTAAAATATTTGGCCAGGACACAAACAACGAACTCCAGACAGTTGGAAATATGAAAGTTCGCTCTAAAATATTACATCCCCTTTGAATAGAAACATGCAAACTGCCAAATAGGGCAACCAGTAAGTGTGCAACAGCAAATCAGAGGGACTTCACTATACTTCAAACATTAATTTAAACTTTATTTATGCATTTCATTAAAATAAACTAAAAAATCTCAAACTACACATCTAAAAAAGTAATATCAGTACTACAAAAACAAAGAATAGCATTAAGCCATCAAGAAATATAAGAGATAGGCAGAAACAACGATGATGCACAGGGTTCAGACAACTCAGGATGCGATTTCAACTGGTACAATGTATTATATTAGCATAGCCCAGAGTTTATCAAACAATCAAAAATCGACGAAAAATTTATTAGAAGCGAAGTTATGAAAATAAAATTTCTCTATTTGAATATAAAATTAAATTAAAAGTTCATAACTAGTTTGTATTTCTTAACTATTCAAACGAAAATCTATAATTCCATAACAGATGCTTGAATTAATTGCATCATTTGCTATGTGTTCCGCATTTAATCCAAGTAATGTTATCAACAACAAACCAATTGACGGTTTTCAACGAAGAATGCATAAAAACAATGACCCATTTCATCAAACTTGAACACGAAGTTAATCGAAAAACAATTTAAATTTTCATTAATTAAGCGGTTGTTGCACCTTAGTGAAATAACGCGTTGTGCAGAGACGTGATATGCACATGATACAACAATCAGTGAAGTAAGGTTGTAGAGCAGATACATACTTGATATTTTCAACAGGCCCTAGTATCGTCCTACCGAGTGGCGAGTTCTTGAATGCTGTGGCGTGAAGATGATCAAAGACAACCTCCTGCAAGTTCGTCTCCACCTCCTGTTAAAAGGTTAAAGGTTTCTCTCTCTCTTTTGCGTTTGCTTCAGAGGTTTCAACGACAAACACACACAGCGTATATGAATACGCGTGCAAACCACGCATCATACACATTGCATATGATAGGCGGGGATCTCTTTGTATTCGAACCCAGTCATTACAATAGCAAGACCAAGCGCTTTTAACCATTGAGCCATCACGCCGCCATCACGTTAACATGCAAGGCATTTCTTACAGACACAACCAATCAAAATAATTCAATTTTACTGCATTCAAAAATACGAATAAAAGTTTTGAAGAAACAAAGATGATATATTAGCAGGTTTCCTCAAAAGAGGAGTTATGTTTGGTACCTCCACCAACGTAATGACTATCAGCTTTCAAAGTCATTGCAAAACCATATTTCATACCGCTTCATGAACAGCCGGGGAGTAGTTTAAAATAATTCCAAAGCACATTAGAAATAACTACTCTAAGAATGAAGAAGTAGAAATACATTTGTTAAATATTCAAGCACGGTTTTAATTGATACATGAAAATATGAAATTTGTGGATTACTCTTATGACCGGACAACCTAACAACCTGAAAACATAGCAACATTACCATCACACCTCACTACCATATCACTCCAACCAAAAACCAACCACACCACATCGACTGCCAACCCACCTGCATTTCCCTCAATATCACTCCTCGTTCCCTCTCGATTTCTGGTTCTCTCAACAAACTGTTCTGGTTGATGTCAGCCAAGATCTCCACAGCTGGTAGCCGTTTTTTTTATTTTTAACGAATCATTTATGTTATCAACAAGCCACTGTTGTAAAGCTCTTTTCGGCATTCAGTATTTATTACAACAGAGAATATTTCAAATTGATGATAGCAGAATCAATTTTCATCGATAAACGTAAACCAGCAATAAATACTACTAAATAATACCAATATTTTTCCAACAAAGAAACACATGATTAACATAAGTTCTAATTAAGTTACAATTTAAGTCGCTGTGAAAACAAAGACAAAAAGACGGAACAGAACTATATAACTACGCTGATGATGGCAGTTGATGCCGAAAAGAGCTTTTCTGTAGTAATAACGTTATTAATAATGTTTTGTCAAAAATGTCAAATATTAAAAGTTTTTTATTTAACCTTAATAAACTTCATCAAGATGATAAAAGTCTCGTTAGAAAAATTGAGAAACTCAACTACAAGTTGAATAATGCCAAAAACGCAGTGATCTTTATGAATAATTATATGTTAGATTGTTAATTATATATATATATATATTTTTACAATATTCTATAAATCCTACCGAATGTTTGGCGTTAATATGTTTGTAGTTCGTTTTTTCGATTTTTCTCACTAAAGTTTTTTGGTGAACGTTTAGTTTATTAAAATTCAAAATAAACTTATTTTTCGAATTCATGCTGCAAATAAGGCCATATTTCGATTCCGTATGAATCATCGTCAGTGCTCCTTGTTGTATATATAGGGAAATATTGACTTTGTCAAGATTAACTTTGACGTTGTAAAAATTAACTTTGGTGTTATAAAATTGAACTTTGATGCGAATTAGGTGTCAGGTTTTTTTTTTTTTTTTTTTTTTTTTGATGACAAAAAAATG